ACTCCATCCCTCCTCCTCCTCCCCCCCCCCACGGGCCGGACCCCCGACTCCATCCCTTCCCCCAGGGCATCAGCCGGGCACCCCATGCCCGCCCCCTCAGGGCATGTTGTAACTCGTAGCATGGTGCCGCACCCCCTTTGCGTACCCTGCAGTGTCACCCCAAATCTCCAGCCACAGATCTGCGCTCCCAGCCAGCCCCAGGTGTATACGGTAGCAGCCTAAGCCCCCCACTCTCCCCAATCCTCATTTGTGCCTTGCAGCTTCATTGTATTCAGGGCTCAGTGTAATATTGCCATCAAAAGTCCCCCCCGCCTTTTCCCCCTACCTACCTGCAGCTCAGGCTCCTAGGTTATTTTTGCTGTTATTTCTGTCAACAATCTGCCTTTAAGTTAAAGCAGTATTACCAATACAGTTTCATAAAAGAAAATGGACAATTGTTTTCTCACTGAAACAGCTGCTGCACATATCCAATAATTTGGAGACCTTTAAGTGTCCATCATGGATAGATTTGTGATACGAAAACCCAAAGCTCAAGAAAGCCCTAGGAAAAGAGATCCAGGGGAAAAGGTTTACAAGCAAGCCACTATAGAATCTCTGAAGGTAAGAGCGGGGAGGGCAAAGGGAATGGATGGATAAGAGATCAGTATAATATTTTCAGTATAGGCCTGATGGAGTTTATATGGCAACTTGTGTCCCAAAGGATCACATAGCACTTGAGTGAGTACATACAGCACCACTGAAATGCGTCTGAAATGGACAGCAGCCAGGAAGACAACAAACACTCAGCACAACAGCAAGGAGAACGAAAGTGTACTCCAGACACTGAAGCAAAGGCCTATTACAAAAACTGCCATGGAACATTTAATGTGCATCTAAAGCAGATAGGACGTTGGTTTTTAAGCTCATTTAATGCATGTACACCATAAACTGAGGCAATATCCGATTTGGAGCTTGAAAGGATAATGTGTTAGATTCACCCTGCTGAGATATGAACTTACAGTTCTAGTGAGTCCAAGTCATTCATATCTCATGCTTAGATGTAGGGCCCCCAATTAATAGGCCCCTGAATTTCCTTTCGGGCCATTAACACTGAAATGGGATCACTTCCCACCCCTTTCTCTAGGGTAAAGATTTCAGCCCTAATCAGTATTTCAGAACCCAGTGTGCAATAGTCCCATTCAGTATCCTGTAAAATTGGGCACAGTTTAGTTTAGCCCTTTCACTTGAGCATTAGGAATTCTGTAATTAGGTTGCTACAAGAAATGGTGTTGGTCATTTAGGTGACACTTCTCTCCCTACTGAGCTAGTGCTCCACCACACCACGAGGGGGCACTGGATTGCTGGAAATACTATTTGTCAAATAAATATGTGTGGTCATTGAAGATCTTATGGCAAATGTTAGCAAGGTGTGGTGTTATTCCTGCTGTTCTGGCCAAAATTCTATCTTGGGTACTTACAGTCAGCCCGTGTCCAAGTTTACCTGTGGCCTCAATTTTAGAAGTGATTTATTTCCTCACCTGAAAACAGTCATGTAAAGTTGACACAGAATAGCTGCTGCATTCCTCCCCACATATGGCTGCCGTTCAGTGGTGTGTGCTCTGTCAGTAAACAGTACAATGGATAGGCTCGCTCCATCAGACTGAAAGGCATTCTATAAACAATGGTCAGATATTTGGTGACATGAATACAAGATTCTGCATGATATAAGCTTTCTAAAGAAAGTTCAATAGATTTAGAATTTGTTTAGAATGTTTTATGATGAATCTCAAAAACAAAACAAAAAACCACAAACATAGGGTCAAACTTTCAGCCAGTCTTAGGTGTCCTGTAAATCTGTACATATAGATTTTGCAGCTTATACAGAGTAATTGTATATCTATCCATGTGCATATGCATTTCTATGCTCATAATTTTGCAGATGTTAAGAAAGTATAGCTGAAACTTGAACTCATAATTAGTTGTAGAATACATAGGTAAAGAGAACAGTTACTATTTGAGATCATTCTAAACCTATGGAAAGTCATAAATTAATGGAGATATCCCATCTCCTAGAACTGGAAGGGACCTTGAAAGGTCATTGAGTCCAGCCCCCTGCCTTCACTAGCAGGACCAAGTACTGATTTTTCCCCAGATCCCTAAATGGCCCCCTCAAGGATTGAACTCACAACCCTGGGTTTAGCAGGCCAATGCTCAAACTACTGAGCTTCCCGCCCCGCCCATAATGCTCAAGTAGCAATACTAATGCTGGAATCATCATCCAAGAGTGCCATTAATCAGGTGCATGATTGTATTTATAAATGTTGTATTTACAGAACATAAAATGTGCATAAACTATTCAAATAGGCAGCAAGAATGCATTGTGGGACACATTTAGCATGTATAGGTGGATACAGCACCACCCTCCCTGCATGGGATTAAAGCATTTGACAAAGATTCCCTGAGCCATGTATTTTTCCTGAATCTCCACACTGAGCTGGCTTTTTAAGATTTGCAGAACTCCATGCTTGAGGGGTAGAGGGAAAGGACACAGGCCAATTGGCCATTAATAATAATTTATTATTTATATTACCATAACACTTTTCCTTCCCCTTTTGATCTTGCTGGAAGTGGGAATTGGGTGGTGAGTGTTCTCCCATTTGGGTCCTAATTGCAGAAGTTTAAAAAATAAATAAATTAGGAGTAACTTGCATTTCAACAGTGAGTGAAGTGATTCCTGCATAACCATTAGTCAGTCTGTATCTGAACATTTCTAACTTGCCCATCACTGTAGCATCTGGGCATGATATAGATAATTGAAAAGGACAATCTGTGAGTAGAGGTGCATGCTTTTCACCCCTCCCTTCTTGCACCACTTTCTTCAGTGACAGTTTCTTCATTGTTTTCCCCTCTGATACTTAGTTTTTTCATTGTTTTCCCCCTGCAGGTTATTTTGCAGCCAAGAGATTATTATTACACCTCTACCCCAATATAACGCTGTCCTCGGGAGCTAAAAAATCTTACCGCGTTATAGGTGAAACTGCGTTATATTGAACTTGGTTTGATCCGCCAGAGCGTGCAGCCCCGCCCCCCCAGAGCACTACTTTACCGCGTTCTATCAGAATTCGTGTTATATCGGGTCGCGTTATATCGGGGTAGAGGTGTATTTATTGTGATAGCACTTGTGTCCCCAGTCTTGGATCAGGGCCTTATTGTGCGAGGTGCTTACAAACAGAACAGAAAATGTTGCCAAAGAGCTACAATCTAAATATAAGACAGAGGAGGATACAAACAGCATATCAGCTGCAAAACCGTTGCTGAATGATTGTAAAAGGTCTTGCACTACATCTTACGCGTAACAAGACTCGGGCTTCTTGTAATCCGTTGTCTGGGAGTGTCACAGCAAGATGCTTGGGGTGAAAGGCACTATGTAAATGCCAGATACATTAATGACTGGCTTCTTTCAGTCCCTCTGTGGTGCTCCCTAGCTCCTTTTCTCTCTCTGCTGATACTACCAGCTTTAAGATTTCCAAAGTTGAAAACAAAAGTGGGGCAGATTCAGGCGCTGCTTGGTACTAAGTTGCTACTAACAATATTATAATTAGCTGCTTCCCCCAGCCACTCCCTCTCATCCGCTCTTTATTAAGCCATTTATACAGTGGGCTTCCCAAAGTCTGAACACTTGCATAACTGTCTTCTTTGTCTAGGAGACATTTGCAGCTAAGTGCCCTGTGTTTGGCAGAATAAGATTAAGAATCTCACTTTGCCTTCTAGATATTTCTGTCCTGATTTACAACAGGGAGCTGCTCTCAAGCAATTACCTATCATTTTGGACCATCACATATTCTGTGCTCTGGTTCATGTCATGATCAATAATTCATGTGTCGATAACAGCCCCATTAGCTGAGATGAAGGCCAACATCTTTATTCGCAATAAGAATATTCCACTGTCCTAATGACTTTTCTCTTTCCCAGAGAGTGGTGGTTGTAGAAGACATAAAAAGATGGAAATCTGTCCTGGAGCTTCCTGGCCAGTCTAAAGAGAATTTGATCGAAGCCTTGGAGGAATTAAAGAAGAAAATACCTTCTAAGGATGTGTTACTTTCAACAAAAATAGGTGCACTTCGTATCCAATTTAGAGTGTGAAAATGAGGTGGATTTGTGTCCTTCACTTGTTGGATTTTTCTATACACAAGGGAATTGTTGACAGCATTTTTCAGTAATGGTCCTAAGCACTTTACCTTATTGTTGAATAAAATCCTGGTGGTAGGTAGCTACATAGTCTGCAAAATTCTTAGTACAGCGAAGAAAGAGTTCTCCTTGAATTATTCACAATTATTTGGATGTTGCC